CCCACTAATCCTTAGCTATTGAAAGAGGAAGCAACAAAGGACTGTTAATCACAGATGTCATGGAGATGCACAGCGCTCGTGCACCTTTTCTCATACCAGAGCTGGGGGGTTGACATGAAGCTATCAGGATCTTATCCGAACAGACAAAAGGAGATGCTTCCCTATGTGTACAACATAGAGCCTCCCATGTTAAACAAGTCAGGATGTAGGGTGCAAAAATTTTAGACGTTTAAGGGAAGAGTGGGAAAAATTTGTGGAACAGAAATATAAAACAAAACAAATAATAAAAGAAGACTAGTTTTGGAACCTGAGTTTCAGTTTGAAGTTTTGGAGACATTTCTGATGAAGTTTTACTAAGAAACGTCCTTTCAAAAATGGTACCCTAAGCATTTCCCAGCTGTCAGCCCAGCTCCTTGGGTGTAATATGGTAACTGTAGGCCTAGGGCATCCTGGAACTGCCATTGCAGCATTGCAGCAGAGTTGGTTTAAAGCCCTTTGGAAATGAATACTTATCAACAGTTTGTTTTTTGTTTTTAATAATTTTATATATTATTTTTAATAATTTGTCTTCAAATTATTAATCCCTCTGATGAATACACAAAGCATCTTATTAGAAAGAAATGTTTATTTGTTGATTCACCTGTGTTCTGCAAGCTTTCTCCAATATGTCTGCCCTATGCAAGTTGGTATAAAGAACAGGTTTCCTGGAGTTTGGTATGTGATAGTTCATTTCTGAGTGGAACAAGGCTTTCAGGGCTTCAAACATAACATGAAGAAATAAGGTAGTGATTGGCTGTTGCCATGATTGGTACAAATTCACAAAGAAGAGCTTATCATTTTGCAGCACTCTCACATAAAGGCCATTCTTTCATAGACTTATCACAGATGAGTCCATTATATTTTTATGGAAATAATTTGTTTGGGTTTCTTTTTTGCATTTGAAATATTTGGAAACTGTTTACATGAATGTTTCATTGAGCACTGTGATAGCATTCATTTGCTATTCTAAATTTTACACCTATTTTGCCTGTCTTTTTCTTTTTAGTGCTAGAACATAAGACAATCAAGTTCAGTAAACAATTCTTAAGAGCTTATTAATATGTATCAGGAAAAAATTATTGCAGTTCTCAGGACTGATTCCGTACAAGGAAGATATACCTCATTTTAACATGCTGTTTGATGTCATTTGACTCCATGAAATTTCTCCTTTTACTTTACTTAACAAGAGTAATTTCTATTATCTATGTAGCAACTTAAATTACATTTTACTGAGCTAAAAAATAATTGGGGTCATTTTATCAGAAATGGCTGATGCTTAACTTTTTTCTCTGACTTGCAGATTTGGAGCTTATTTACACTCTAGATATTTACATCACTTGAGCTACACAAATTATCTTTCAAATGGAATCAAAAGTAATGTTAGGATTCATTTAAACCCAGTATAGGACAGGGTATCCTCAGAACGAGCAAAGATTGTACTGTCAATGGTTCCATTAGTTCTGAAATTCCACCAATGTCCTGGGCATGAGAAATTCAGAACTATCTTTCCACTACTGACATTTGAGCATAGAATTCTATAACACAGTAAAGTAGATATCTATTTAAATGGAATTTTAAAAACTTTTTTTTTCAAAAATTATATAATGCTTTTTTTAACTTTCATGCTTTATTTGGGCCACACTGTTCTTTTCTTATTTTTAACTTCTCAATTCCCTTTGTTCTTCCATCTTCTATGATATTTTTAAGGTACTTTCCTCTTCAAATTGAGCATGTAACTTGATGTTTAAAAAAAAAAAAAGAAAAAGAGACCTGGAGGCATCTGCCTAAATCCCTTTCTTTCTCACTACACTGTTATGTAACATCATAAACTAGGGTACTGTGAAGTGTATCTGCCTGAGTTCTATGTAGGAAGATATGCATACACTGGGGTAAGTGACAAGGTTAAGATACATTCCCTCACTTGCACAAGTCGCCCTAGCCTGATTTTCTGAAAGGTCCTCTTGCCAGCCTCATTTTCACCTAATGACCACCATTCTCCAGCAGCTCGTTCTACTTTAGCTATAGCTAATTGAGTTTTGCTTTTCTGTCTCTGCAAAAGCCCTTTCCATCTCTGTTTTCTGCTTCCTTTTAAACTCTTCCTGTAACTCCTTTCCTACCTGCCATCAGTGAAAGTTTCATCATTGTTTTCCATCACATCAGGTTATATCAGCTCTGCTCCTGATCCCTTTTTCTCATCTCACTTCTGTCCTTCTTGGGCTTCTATAACTCCATCTTCTCTGGTATCTCCCATCACTTCATAGTGTCCTGATGTCATCTATGTCAGCTGTCATCTCATCATTACCAGTTCTCAGCCTATCTGGCATTTCTTCTGGCATTAGAACAAAGAACTAAATCAGATCTCTTCGTTATCTCTTCCAAGCCTTCCCACTACTTTCTGATTTAGAGCTATCTGCTCCTTATACCTCCAAGTCGTGTTTAACTGAAAGCTCTTTCCACAACCCTACATCAGTATTTTAACAGACCCCTCTATTATGTCACTTTTGCGTGTTTGGCCCAGACCTGAGGCAAAGCCTTTACTCTGTTAACCTTTTAGACACATTTTTGTCAATCTTGGTGCATGTTCCGCATGTATCTCAGCTGAGAGATATGATTTCATGTCTGGTTGTGGGGATGCCTAGAAAACTGTGCACCCAGTAGCCCTGCTTTAAGCATTTCAATTCTTTTAGTTAACAGAATGAGCTGAACTGAATCAAAAATGTGTTATATATGATAATGAGTTTATACTGTTTGGTCCGTCCCCATCAAAGATCTGTTTCAGAGGTGTATATTTTGCTTCAGCACCGCATTACACATTAAATTAAACACCAAGCCAGTTTTTCATTGTTGTTGTTCCACTGGAATCCCCTTATCTTAACTAAGCTCAAATTATGTCGCTTCTTATAAGTAGACCCAAGAGAAACTCAGAGTCATTTACTGAATGAAAACATTATTCACAGTTGATCCTGAAGCTGGGAGGTTTCCATTTCAAAAGGCTGATTCTGAATTTTTGGTCAGTGTTAGTTTTTTAGAGAGGTGATTTTATGATTTTTCCTTCTCTCTAGAGGTGCTGCTGTATGCTTTGTTTTCGCCCTTTTACCACAAAGTTCTCTGGTGGAAATTTTCTTATTGCTCTGCTTCAGAAGAGTTCTGTCTTATAAATTCATGCTGCTGTAATGGCTCAATCTATCACTCAGCACAACAGAGCTGAGTACTTGATAGAATGAACTGTTTTAGAAAAAGTGTTGTAATAAATTGGGAACAAAAGAAATGTCTAAATATAATATGCAAACTCGTGGTTTCCAGTTTTTGTTTTTGAAGTGGGAATGCCAGCTTTCAGATAGTATGGAAAATTGTTTAGATGTTGTAAAAATCCGAGGAAAACACAAAAATCTTTGAAGACATTTTTTTCCTGCACATCATAGTTTTTCATGGAAAAGAACATATTTATTGTAAGTTATTCTTCAGTGTCGGTTTTCCTAATGCAGGTTGTATTGTCAACACTTCCATGGCAGAGTTATGAACTAATATTCTTCCTTATGTGGAGAGGTTGACCACTGATCCAAGTCCACTGTCATTTCTTGTAATGTTAGAAATGTAACCTGTGTTCCTGCTATTCCTAGGCAGTTTGTATGCTGTGTACTTACCATCTCTGGCAGCTATTCTTAGCAAAATCTACTTTTTAACTTTTTTTAATTTGCTTTTTTTTTTTTTTCCAGATGAAATGTACAGAGTCATAGATTTTATTATTTTATTATATTGTAATGTTGCATTTTCAAGGATCTGCCTCCACAGTCATGCTGAAGCATGACTGATTCACATGGATTCTGGGTAAATGTCGGAGTTGAGAATTATGGGAAGTTTTGATGACCTGGAGTCAATAGCTGCAAACCAAAGGAATGTACAAAATAACGAAGTGGAATATGTGTATTTTGACATCTTCCTATCTGAACAGTACACTGAGGCTTTTTTAATTCACTCAAATTTTTGGAAAATTTAAATGGGTTCTGAAATTAATTGTTCAGCAAATATTCATCTGATAAAAAAAAAAATCCATCAAATGCAAAAAGGGAATAAATTTCTTGTTTTGAATACAGGACAAAACTGGAATTGTAGCCATTGTGATCCTCATCCACGTGGTCTAGCTTGAAGTCTAGGATTTTGCTTACTTTTAAAGATATTAGAAAAAATGTCTTTCTTAATGCCAGTCACCACTGTTTCCTTAAGAAATGAGAGTTTCAAGGGCACTGAATATTTGAGATTTAGTCCTTAGTCTGCTTTTCTGTAATGTAGCTCCGGGTTCATAAAAGCAGAAGTGAAAGAAATGAACACTGTCAAGAGAAATACCCCTAAGCTTTTCAGGAAAACCTATGTGGAATTTGTTTGAAAGCTAAGAAGGCTACAGGTTGTATATTGACAAATAATTATTTCCATGAAAATATTTCCCTACTCAAAAATGAAAATATTTTTTGCAATTAATGAAAAGAATCAAATTTGACCATCTCTAAACTGCATTTCCACCTGTATCCTACTGCATGTTGAGTTACAACTGATTTTATTGCACGTTCTAGCTTGGTATATTCAACATATTTTCATCTTAACGTATTTTTTTCTTCCTACTGATTGTCTCCAGCCATTACTAAACCAGCTAACTAGTCTTTGATATTGTATACTGCATTCTTTCATGAAACAGGATAGCACTTTTTATGGTTATGAGATTATGTTCTTATTTTAGGATTGAGCCAGTGCCTCAAACTTCTCCCCAGATGAATTCTTGTCTATAGACTTTTCAACAGTGTTATGGCTGCCTATAAGTACTTTGAGTTTGGGTTTTATTTCAGTCTATCACTTGTATTTATAAAATACATCTTCAACATTGAATGGTCTGCAGAATATCAGGAAGTTTTTGTTTCTAAATATAAATTACGTCTCTCCCTCTCTGTTTTTATTCTTTATTGCTCCAGTTAGTGTGCTGAAGCATGACAAGAGCTCAAACTCGGCAAACTTCCAAGACGCAGAGGGTGCACCTGACAGATGTGTCTTAGAAGAATCTGAGAATCCAGGTGAGAACCATTTCAAGGCAGTTACCGAGTATCATGTGATAAATCTGACACAGCTTTTGGGTGGGTAAAATAGGCACACTGTAATGCTGTTTCCTTTTTAGCAGCTGCAGTGTCAAATTAACGGTCACCTCTAGGGGTCACAGTGTTATCCTTTCCTCTTTCATCAAGAATTCAGGTCTTAGAAAGGATAAGGTCTTTATGACCAAAAAGAAAGCTGACACAACTAGTTCATTATAATTAGTTTTGGACTACACTTCTTATTTAATATATATGCGATGTCTGACCCTTTGAAGGTAGAATGAGGTTATGAAAAATTAGAAGCACTGTATATGCTGCAGTTAAACTTAGCAGTGGACATTCAAATACTGTATCTCTGGAGGAAAGCAAATTGGTAGTTTTAAATAGCTTGATTCTTTTCTCTAAATCAGTTCACAACCATTATTTCATTTTAATGACTCTTAACATTGATTCAGTTAAATACAAGAACATCCATAAAGTGCATTATTTTTGGTGTCTAAAAGATTTATCTTCATGTACTATCATTATCTTCCTAGTTATGGAATATCTAAGAAATTCATTAAATGAAACCCAAGGGGAAACAAGTATGAAGTACATCCAATCACAGCTGATTAAAACATTCTATGCAACTAAATATTAAAATCTTACAGTCTATGGGCTTGATCCACATACACCATATATGAAACCTGCACATAGTACTCATTAACGAAAGAGTTAAACATCTTTCTTCACTCAGTATTTTCCTCCCCTGCTTTATCTGGTTTCTGTGTACCCTCTTGCATCTTTGTGTGCTGATCCGTGTATCATATTTTTGATTCATCGTCTCTGTGGCCTGTCAGCTTAGTTAAGAGATTTCCAAATCTTGCAGCCTGTGCTGACAGGGGGCAGCTGCCAACAGTCCCCTGATCCTTCCCCAAGGAACACTGCTGAGATTTAATTTTCAGTCAAAGGGTGCAGTCTGAAATCCATGTCAGGTCCCCTAAGTCATCTCAGAACCCAGAAAGGACCCCTGTCTGGGGGATTATATTTCAGCACACTCCACTCCTCCAAGATTCCTTGGGAGTTCAACTGCCGTCATATACCTGATTTGAACTACATTCCTTTTTCATCTTTTCCACAGAAATGAACACAAGTATACGTTAGAATAATTGAAACCAATGAATTGTAAATTCGTATTCATTTTAAAGCCACGTTGTCTTGAACTCACTGCTGTACAGCAGAAGGCAGTATGAGATTTAGAAATATGTAATCTACTTGGGAAGGAAAGCCATGTAATTTCTTTGCCATGACCACCTCAAGCTGTTTCTGGTGCATGGTGCATCCTTCAGAAACCATCTGTACAATGGTTTCTACAACGATTCTGTGTGAAAGTGTGCGTTGCCCAAGATCTGTTCCAAGGTCTGTTCTGAGGTGAAAAAGAATTTCAGCAATGTGATGTGAAAGTGTTGAGGTGAGAATTAATGTACATTAAAGATAACATTAATTTGAACCTTAATTTAAATTATTATGCGTAGCAAAGTGCACACATTTGGATGGGAACTTGAATACCAATTCTACATTCTGCATGTCTATGTGAAGTAATGGAAAAGATAAAAAGCTATCAGGAGGTGAATGTTGGCTAGCAAAAATACATGTTGATAAAGCATCTAAACTTAAAAACTGAGTTCCGTGCAGTCCATCTGACATCATTAAACTGGTAATAAACAATGAATTACTCTGGCTTTTGTTTCTGTCCATTCCTGCATTTTAAGACATCTTGTCTTATAGGTCTGAAAACCTCAGGAGATTTCACTACTGGTCTCACTGCTTTCCACTGAGAATTTGTGGCTTGGTTGTCATGGAGACATCGTATTTCTCCAAGAATTGCTCATATTGATCCGTGGACAGGCGTAAATGGCCAGGCGAATGTGAGGAGTAAAGGGGGTTGGGCAGTACTATAAAATGACCAGAGGTTATGGGTCGGAAATAAGCTCATAGCAAACACTTAGGTAAAGAGAAAGAAACAGTTTCATTTTGTTTCAGGATTTCGTTTTTGCACTTTATGCCATTGTCTTCTTTCACTATAGACTGAAAGAAACTTGTTAGTCACTTGTCATGTCAGATCTTTGGTGCTTGTCCTGACACAGCTGTCAGCCTTCCAGCTCTGTGCAGTTCAGGGACACACAACAAAGAGCCAGGAACATGAATTATTTATTGCTCCTTGTGCGGATGAAATTCTGTGATAAGAAATTAAGACACTTCTGACCGAAGTGCTTGTTTGAAAGGAGAGATTTGATAACAGACTACATTCACTTAAAACTTACTACTTACTTTTAGTAGCAAACATTGAAACAATAATATGGCATTCAGTTGGGTAAGATTTTCTCTAGTGTTTCTCAGGTGTTTTGACTTTGAAATGGATCTTGGTATTTAAGAGTGCCTGGAAGGTTGGCATTTGATTTGGTGAAACCTGTGAATTTAGCTTTCTCTCATATTCAGTGTCAGGACAACTGACAATCATTTATAAACTTTAACTAAAGAGCTGTCATTATGTTTGTTTTGCAGACTCTGTTGCATTTAGAATATGTTATTATATGTGCAAAAGTGATGTTAAGAAATATCTTCACTTTATTATCTCTTCTGACGAGGAAAAGATGAAAGTATAACAGCATACCAGAAAGGAACTACAAATATTTCTAGACATGGTTCCTTGTTGCATCTCCTACCAGCATCAGTGAGGCTGGAGTACATAGCCATTAGTAGACATATCTGTTTACTGTGCTTTCTACCGGTGAAAAGTGCAGCCTCTAACCTTGACATAAGAGTGAAAGTTATTTTCAAAGCGATCTAAATTTTCTAAATCACATAAAGAGTACTCTGCTTATTTTACTTTCACACTCTTTATATTCCTGTACACGTTCTTACTGCTCCAGAGATAGGCCTCCAGCAGTCATGGAAAAAAAGGCCTATACTCAGATGGCAGGAATCCATCTGACTAACCAAGACCCCAATCTGAGATTTACCTGTGATTTCTTGTATTCAGTGTGTGATCCAAGCTACACTTAGGTAGGAAATGAAACCCCTCAACCTGCACTTTTCTCTTGGATAATTCACAGCAAACACTTTTCATGTGTGATGGACACAGGTAAATGTCAGACTGCAGTTTCTTGTCTAAGTGAAATAGATTTTAGTTTCTCCCTTTGTGTGCCTACAAGCTGCCATTATCTGTGATAGTGGCTCACGTCTATTTAGCCCTCACACAGAGGAGATACTGGGCTACTCTCTCAAATGCCTAATAGTAGGTTTATCACTGCCATTTTCCCTACATGCTGAGGACTACTTCTGTTTGATATGCAAAGCCTTGGCTTTTCAAACTCTTCTCTGGCCTTGAACATAATAATCAAATAGGAATTGCAACAGAATTTTGTAGAACTTTTAATCACATTGAACTGCTGCAAAGAATTCACTGCACCTTAGAATGGTTCGTCAGTAGAAATAAATATTCATAGCATTGTTTTCCATTTCAGCAGTCATTTTTTCTGCTCTTACAGAAACCGAGAAAGAATCTGAAGCTGATCAAACTTAGATGTCTGAGTTCTATGAGCTATTCACCCAAATATTCTTATGTAAACAGTGATGGAAAATTCACAGCCCTAGAAGGCAGATAATCCTATTCGTAGGGCATTGCTTAAGAGTGAAGGGTATTGAAAGTGCTCTGAATTTTGTCAGTCTGAATCTGAGAGGAACATAGCAGGAGTTTACACAATTGCAGATGTTTTAGTTTTCATATGTGCTGCAGTCCCATTAAAGAAGCTTCTGCAAGCATAGCACTCATGAGATTAAAAAAACAGATTTGAGTGGAAGTCAGAAGGAACAATATAGGCACAGATGCCCCTTACCTCTTTTTTCCCCCAACAGAGATATTGCAGTAGATCAAGCAATAGGTTGTAGCTTTCTTTGGTAATGGAGGAAAATTCAGCTTGATTAAGCAAAACAAAGCAACAACTGAAAGCTGTAGATTGGAATTAAATTTTTTTCTATCTTTTGGATGAAAACCATGTAAACAGTAAGAATGTATGTGTGGCCTTCAGTAGGCAGGAAGTTTGACTGAGTCAGCTGGTCCCTTCTGCAGCTCGTGATTGCTCTCTGTGATATCTTCACTGCAATAACATCGTAGATATTAATTTTTTCCTTCTTCTTTCAGGACAGAATGTGATTCTGATCATATGACAGATAACAGTGAAAATACAAACAGTTTTCACAGTCTGCCATAGTTGCATGTCCTAGGTAGACCTTGACACAGAGATGGGAGAGATCTTTGACTGCTCCCAAAGTACAATCTTTTAGAGGCTGAACTGCAGGAAATAGAAATGAAAATGTGAAGATATAACAAGATCAGATACTAATTAGCTGAGTATGAAATGCTAGTGTCTGGAGATAATTGCAGAAATTAGGCCCATAAGAATTTCACTGTATTGAATGTGTTGCTGTGTCCCATCATCATTCAGCATTGCTAGTATTTGTTTGTTTGGTTTGGTTTGACCTTGTAAATGAAACTGTAAAACCAGAAGATTATATAGTTGACAACAGGAAAATGTGTCTCTCTTTATGTCTAAGACATAGATAGGCAGATAGATGACAGACAATAGGACAAACTGAGGAGATAGCCATTAGGCTGGGAAAGAACAGCGTGTTTCATGTACTCATAAAGAGTGCTGAATGTATATAAGCAGTGCTTCTAATTTAAGTAATACTTTAAATTCAGGTTGTAAATACATAAATATATATGAATTAAATGGGAGAAAGTCATGAAGCTAAAAACTGATGACTGAGATTACTCCTTACAAATTTAGCTATTAATGCCTTATTAATAAAGCTGCTTACTACTACTGTTTACAGCTAACACTGGATTGTTTCTGTTGAAATATATATATATATAATTTGAAAATGCTTTTTCCATAGGAAATGCAAATCCTCTATTAGATATAAACTGAAATTATTTTTTGTGTTTCTATTAGAAAGTGTTTCATTCAAAACGAAAAGGTGAAGAAGACGAGAGGAGGACTGTTTCACAGAAAAACTCTGAGGAAGGCTATGCATTCTCTTAAGCTACTTTGGATTCCATATTTCCTCATGTAAATTGCAATTATGATGTGAAAAGAATAGAAATCTTCTGGATGTCGATTTCTTGGTTTTTTAACACCACTGTGCTGATGCTGAGTCTTAATTTCATTACAAAAATATAGATTCTAAATCTACAAAAAGATTTTCAAATAACTTTTTTCTTTTTTTTTTTTTTTTTAACAAAATATGTTTCTTTCTTTTCCAGATGACATGAAGGCACATCCCTGGATATCTAAGGTGTGCTCCTGTAAGGTGTGTTAGAAGACCCCACTTAGCTGAAGGAATACGAAGATGCACAAGAGCAGCCAAGACATAAGATAAAGGTGGAATGGACATGGAGTGGCTTACTGTGGTTATTATTTTATACCTTCATTTTCAGAAGAAATATCTTCCATAATGTCAGCTGCTCTCTGCTGATTTACTGAATTCAATTCACACTTCTCTCACTAATAGATTTACAGTTATTCAATTTAATTTGATATTTTCTAACATAGAAAATACTGAGTCCTTATTTTAGATGTTTTTCATTAGCTACAGCAGTGATTCCAAGTACTGATTGACTGTAAACTTGCTTCAGTTTGATTATTCTTTTGAATGCAACTAATTTAAATAATCAAACTTATTTTTTTCTCTCCTTTCTTCTCACTTTTATTGCCAATAGCATTTTGACACTAATAGAAAGCATTTGGCTAATTTGAAAAAATAGAGATTTTTTTTTATTATTATTTAAATGAAAATGCACTGGAATATTTAGAAACAATAAAACATAAACAACTTTGTGCTCAAAGGTCTGCATGGGAAATTGATTTTAAGTCTGGTCATGTCTAGCATCTGAACTTTCCTTTTATACTGCCAGCAGTATAATCTGAATAAAGGTGCTCTGGTATGAAGATGGGAGAAGCCAATCTAAGTTCTCAACTGATGCGCTTTGTGGAATTGCTGTTTGTGCTCATGGGGAAAAGAAGATACACATCTTTGTCCTTTAAAAAAAAAAAAGATTGTGTTTGGAAAATATTTGCGGTTCATGAGACTCATATATCACGTAGAGTTCTGAGGGATTTCTGCTGGTCTGCTTCTCTGAGCAGCACATTTGCTTTCTGTATTATCAATAGTAGGAGGGCTAATGAAGTCAAAGAGACTTGAAGATGGCATTGTTTGGATTTGTATGATGGTGGAAATCATAGCCTGATATTATGCTTCCTGTTATGTTAGCCATAATCTGCCTTATCTAGAAAATTGGATTTCTTTAGTGCAACAAGATCCTCTGGCAATGAATCCTTGTCCTCTTTGTGGGGAAATGTCGTGGCTGTAGGTGTGACCAAACCAGGTTGCTGTTATTACTATGGCTTGAATTTGACTGCAACATCGTAAGAAATAGTATTTGAATTTTATTCCACTGAAAATACAGCAATTAAAATAGGTTGAAGCCCAGGGCAGATAAAGATATTTAATTTTCTTTCTTCGGAATTATGTATACCATGCATAAAATGACATCTTTTATAGAAAAGTCAATGTGTTTTACATATTTGGTATGTTTCAGGAGGAGCTTTCATAGAATCACAGAATGTCCTGAGATAGAAGGGATTCATAAGGATCATTGAATCCAACTCCTGGATCCATACAGGACCACCCAAAAATCACACCATAAGCTTTCCTTATTCTTAGGAGTCATCATCATAGATAAACCATGCCTTTTGTTTATACAGGCTTATATTTGATTTCTGGTGACTAAACAATCTAGACATGGAGTGGTATGGCTTCAGTCTTTCATTTATCATGCTGGATGTCTGCAGTAATTTCACTGACATATTTATACTTGCATAATGCAAGTTCTACACAGCCAAGAGCAGTAAAAAAATTCAGCTGACATAAACCCCCATCTCAAACTTTATGCTAAAATCAAAGATCAAAATATCAAGAAAGTGAGAATTAAAGTTATTAAAATAAAGTATGATTACAGGAACTTACTACAAAAAAATCTGCAGACAGTAAACCAAATGTACCAAAAGCTTGAACCTTGCTATCTTCTTCACCACACACCCTCATCAACAGTCATCACTATTTTGCTTAAATGATCTTCCACTGGCACAGAAACATCCATCTCCCTTCTCTACCAACTTTATTGCTTTATCAGTATCTGTAGACTTGCATGTTCTTAGTACAAGAGCAGCAAATCTCCTAAAGCCATTTCTACGAGGTATTCTTAAAAATAACTGTGTGTTCAAAAAGGTGTCAGAGCTCAAGGAACTGGCTTTGTCCACAACACCCAGTATTGCTGTGGCAGCGATTACATTTGTGCAGCACAATATTTGATTGCTTGTCTTTAATTCATTAAAGCAGTGCACATCAGCAGACTGCCAATACAGACAGCCCTTGGAACAGGTTGTGCGATGACGATTGGTGTTTGCTACGTGCTTATGTGTGCTTTGCGCTAATTACAATTGCGGTATCAGCGAGGTACGTGTACTGTGTCTGGTTAGGATGGAGTTAGCTGTGCTCTGGACTTGTGTCTCCAGGTCTGCTGCCCCAAAGGCCAGCAGGCTGGGGATGGGCTGAAGGTGGGGAGAAAAAGAGCCAGGACAGCTGAACTAAACTCGCCGAAGGACATTCCGTACTGTATGATGTAATGCTCAGCAATAAAATCTGGCTGAAAGAAGGTGAAAGGGGGAACTCTGTGAAAGTGTTGGCCTTTTTGAGTGTACTTAGGCCTTACTTTCCAAGAACTGGATGAATAATTTTTCTCCTTTTGCTTCCACATGACCTTTGCGTTTTTTTTTCCCTTTTCATTAAACTGCTCCTTATCTCAACCCACAAGCTTTTCTTTCCTTTCATTGTATTTTCTCCCCCTGTGTTTCTAAGGAGGGGGAGTGAGAGAGGTGTGGCGGTGATGAGCTGCCTATCGGTTGTTAAGCCACCACAGGAAGACAAGAATTCTTCCTATTAGGTACATTTATGTCCCAGTAAAATGAACCTATTTCCAGTGTGCTCTGGATGCCTTTCAAGCAAGAGCTATACAGTATGTGCTCAGGATGAACTCTTGCTTTGAAAAATCTTTGTGTATCAAAGTGATGATTTTAGAGCTCTGTAGAAAAATACATACTAACCCCCTGCAATTGCTTCTCATGAGCCGTAATAACTGAAGAAATATTTATGTTCTAATGCACTCTGATGTACCATTCTGTTCACTGTTACGGAGATTGATTTTACAACAAAGTTGCAAGGTAATTATGAATGTATCTCTCTGTTGTGTTACATTGGAAGACTCCTACCAAAAGAAGTCGCATAATAATATTTTAGAATACCCATCCAAATTTTAGGTATGGGATAAAAGTTTAATGAAAGCCTACACTGCTTGGGGAGCAAGGCTTTACTTTTTGCTTCCTCTGGAAGTCATAGGGTCTTTGAAGTCAAATGATCAATTCGTAGTGTTTTAAGCAACATTAGGACATCCTACCACTAAACAGAGCAGCTTCTCCCCACTTCAGCCTATGTTTTTATGTCTCCTCACTTATGTTTGCACTCATATGACTAGGCTGTGTCAACACGAACACCAGTCCCAGTGCATGGAACAGAGGAGTAACAAGCAGCTCAGGCCAGGAGGATGGGTGAGATATCATGTAAGTTGGTGGCAAGCCACAATTACACCAATATTATCTCAGCACAAAATTGGAGCTTTAGTATGCTTTATGAAAGGGTGTTTCTTGAAAATAGACATTTGGCTTTCAAATCGTTTAGTTATATTTATATATAAGCTATATATGCTATATGTATAGTTATGCTTATAATATGTTATATTTAAAAAAAAAATAAGAATCTGCTGATTCTTTATTATAAGCCCAAGCCTAAAGTCATTGACATCTCTTTAATCTGATGGATTTTGAGTTTTCCAAATGATTCATACTTGTTAAATGATCACTGATGGAGATTTCTGCCTGAAAACATCCCTAAATACTGAACCATTCATTTATAGCTCTAAATACAAGCCATTACATTTTGAAATCTTATGTACTTCCATTCCTGGGTTGTATTTTTTTTTGTATTTTATTAAACAAGGCTTATCTTCCCCAGTACAGTGGAAAATGCCCTTAAAGTACATTGGTGTAGAACTTGAAATACTTATACGAGATTCAGAGAGAAGAGAGTGAAACTCTTCAATAAGACCACTGTGTAATAGAGCCACAAGCTCCAAAAACCACCAGGAATCTATAAATGGAAATGATTTTGCATATCTGACTGAGCTAAAGGTGTTGAAAATTCTGGAAACAAAATGGGAAAGGGTGTAACGAAGAGCATCACTTCAGATTTTTACTCCTTTGGAAAGAGTATGTTTTCTGAAAGCAAGCTAGGGGAATGAGCTAGAGCATAAATCTCAAAGTCACTGTGCCAACACTGAACAGCTAATAGATGTTAGTTCTATGAGGAAAAAGTCCTGCTCCTCGTGTTTCAGATATTTCTGTTGATTTTTACAGGCCATTCTTGTATGATATAAGCATGCAGAGGAATTTAGAGGATTGATCTTTACCTTTTCCCTCACTCATGGAAAAGCCAGTATGAAGTGCTTGGCAGAGTTCTTGGTAGTATTACTACAGACTCCATTGATTTATGATTTGAGTCCACTGATCCCCAAGTAATTATTATTACAGATCCTTCAACAATATTATTTGAGATGGATTGAGATGGATCTATGGATGCAACCAAAGTAAAAAAAATAATAACTCAGAATTGTCTAATCGAGGACCATGGGAAGTTTATCTCTTGAATGGCAGCTGCTGGATAGTCTAAAGGGTGACCAGGAGCTGTGCTGCAGGACAAAGGTACCTCGTGTAAACACTGCCTTCTCCACCTTCTGATGAATATGGGAGTCCTGGCTACAGTATGATCAGTAAGTACAAATATACCTGCCAAAGTGAAGCAGCACAAGTTCTTAAACAATATTAAACGTTAGGATATCTAAATACCTGCTGTTTTCTTTTAGGGTGGACTGTATACATGATGAAATTGTTACACAGTACTAATTTAATTGCACTTATCTTTTTATGTAGTTCTAGAAACTTTAGCTAAAGAGCAGAGCTTTGCAGCCTGATTTCCCTTTAAGTGTCTCACAATGTAGGGCTAAAAGCTATTTTTCTTCTTCTGGCAATATACTCAGTAAGATAGCCAGGAAAAGTACCATCACTCGAGTAATATATGTCGTTTAATTAAGTACATCACTCCCTCCATTTTTACAGCAACTGAGAGAATTATTTTTGTATTTATTTTTAGCATTTGGAAGCTTAATACTCAGCAGAAAAATATTAACAGTATCCAGAATTAGTAAAATAATTGTATTTTTCCTATTTATTCTCAGATTTTATATAAATAATTTGTAAACTTCTTACTAATACAGATCTGGAGAACTCTTAAGTCACTACAAATTTCCCACACAGAAACTTAAGGCAATCAAATATTCTGTCCAGT